ACAGAGAAACCCTGTCTCGAAAAACCAAAAAAAAATAAAATAAAAAATAAAAATCTGGAAGCTGTCAACAACTTCCTACTTATTTTCACGAGGGCTGTGGAGCTGTCTCAATTGAGCGATTACCACTAAGTGTAAAATATTCTGGATCAAAGTGGTGGAAGTTGAGAACTCTGACTATTCGGCTCACACCACACGAGGACCCGTACATTGACAAATTTTTTTATTTATTTATTGTTCTAAAGACCAGTCGTCGGGAAGCGGAGTCAAGAAAATCAAGGAAGGCCAGCCAGGCCCACATGAAGTCCAAGGTTAGCCCGAGGACCTCAAAAACACAGTAAAACAAAACCACCTCAAGACCTTCACATAAATTAATTTTTCCTCGCCTCTTCGTTGACTATGTCCTCTAAGGCCTTTCCCGCAAGCAGTCTAGGACAAAGGTCATGCTTTAGTGTCCTCTTCCGTAATGCACAGAGCGCGTCCCCGTTCTCGAGGCGCCCTCTTGCCCAGGAGCGGATCCCTACCCGAACGCTCGCACCGTCTCACCACCCGCCGGCCGCCCCCTGCCTTCGCCCTTGCGGCCCGCGCTCAGTCCCCACCCCTAGGGAGGGTCTCACCTGGCCGGAGGGGCCACCCGGGAAGAGCGGCTTCGGCTTCCACGCGGCATCTTAGATCCTCAAACACTCGGAGTCCAAAGACTACGAACTGCAAAACGCCGACGATCGTCCAGCAACTTCTCTACCAAGGAGAGCGGAAGACGGGAGGCGGGTTCTCATAGGGAAGCCAATCAGCGCCCGGAGGAGCACGAGCGCTGAAAGTCATTGGAAGATCCAGACGTCAGTTACAGGGAACGTCGGGGTGCTGCGTCACACGCCGGGAAGTCAAGAGGTTGGCGACCAGGCCCTGAGGTAACCGGAAGTTCCTCGGGTTGCCCTCTCAAATCTCGTCCCCAGATTCTCTGCTGGATGGTTAGGTTTTTGTTTCCAGTGGACGACTGGCTTTCCCCACAACCCAGGCTGACCTTCATTTTCAGATCCTCCTGCCTCAGCCACTCGAGGAAACTGGACTGGGGATTACAGGCATGTCGCCATGCCTACTATGTTAACGGGGTTAAATGCAACCTTAAGTGAGTCATCCTTGCCTTGTCTACCAGAGGGCCTTGGATTGTTTACCTAACCCTTCTCAGATTTTCTTTTGCAACAAGGCCTCACCTAACGGACGTTGGCCTGGAACTCGCTCTTCTCATGACTCAGTCTCCTAGTGCTGGTGATGCAGGAGAAGTTCATAGTCAAATGGTGTTATAAAGGATTTACTAATAATCTTGGAATTTAGCTAAAAGAGCCCTGCCTCCAGTGTGACTGGAAGATGGTGTACTAACCAGGCTTTAGTAGAAACTGTGGGAAAGAAAATTCTGTAACATAACTGAAGTTTTAGGTGGCCAAGAAATGCTTGTCAACCTGTAGG